AGGTGCAAACACCTGGGCGCAGGTGCGCCTCCGCAAGAGCGGATCTTGCCTTTGCAGAAGCGGAATTTGGGGAGAGGCCTTGTGCAGGACCGCATGAGCGGTCGTTTTCTCCGAAGAGGAATCTCAGGACCTAAGTGGGAACCGCACCTGCGATGGTTTTTCCATAGGTTCGGCATCGCAATTGTGACTGTGTGACTGCAGATGCGGAACCACTGAGCAGAAAAGGCCTAAGTTCAAGGGTTTGATTTCATTATCCATTTTCGGACTTAGAGAGCTCTGTTTGTGGCGATATTTCAAGAGATTTTCAAGAAATTCATCGAGGAAAGAGATTCTTACTCGGTGTTGGCTATATTACACGAATCCATTGCTATTTTCATCATTTAATTAGTGATTTGAGTTGGAAATTTGTCAAAAAATTGTGAAAACTTCTTAGGTTAAAATTTGGGGATTTGAAAGGCGATTTGAGGTCGAATTTGAGTAATTCTTGTATGGTTGGACTCATTATTGAATGGGTGTTTAGATTTTGTAATATTGGTCGAATTCCGAGACGCGGTCCCCAGTTGACGTTTTGAGTTGACTTTTTGTTTCTTTGTAATTTACTGTTCGAAATAGTTTCCTATAGTTTATATTTATGGTATAAAGTTGTTTTGGCTAGATTCGAGCCATTTAGAGTTGGATAATTGAGGAAAAGGCCTACTAGTGGATTGAGTTAACATATTTTGAGGTAAGTGTCTTGCCTAACTTTGTGTAGGGGAATTACCCCTTAAGATTGGTGTTGGTTTTTGTTAATTATGATATGTGAAAGCCGTGTACACAAGGTGAAGAGTGTGTACACGGGCTAAATGTGAAAATTGACCGGTTTAGCTATGTAGATTCCTTTCATGGCTTAATTGAGTTACCTTAACATGTTATATGCATCATCATTATTCTATCTTCACATGCTCTACTTGTCTTATCTCTTACTTGTTAATTGTATTTACATGATTAGTTGAAGTTAGTGTTTCTTCTATTCCTTATTCATTTTTTTAACTGTTGAGTTCTTTAGTTGAAGTTGTTAGTCTTGGAACACCTTGTTGTTGAAACAGGTTTTGAGTTATAAAGGTCGTGATTCGCATTGAGGCAAAGTTGTAAAGTTGTGAAGTTGTGAAATACTATTCTTCTTGAGTTATTTACTTCCGGTTGTTATTGTTGAGACTCCGGTGCACATTGTGGTTGAGCCATGTGATATTTATTGTGAAAACACTGTTATTGTTGATTTCTTTGGAAAATTATGATATTGGGCAATTGAGGTGCGATTTGTGATACGTTTTGATATTGATACGCATGAGATGGTATAAGATTTTGGGGTTGAAACACATGCGGTGCGATAGGTTACTATGGATTTTTTGAAGGTTATTTACGTATTTCAGGAGGATCGAAATTTATTTAGGGGCCATTGGGAGGCCTAATTAGAATTTGTTTTCTATATTGGATCATGTTTGTTTACTCAGCACAGCTATTGTTAGGGTGTGTCATCATCTAGAGTTGATCTTATTCATGTCCTATTATGCTTCATGTGTTACTCTCTTATGCTACGATGGGGTGTGAGACTGTTGATATTTACACACATAATGTGATTTTGCTTGGGATTTGTGGCGAAGTTTGAGCGAGGCATCTCTTAAGATGTCGAGTTGCTTATTACACGTTGTCGTGTTTTTCCTGTTTATGGTATATGGTGCTATTCGTTTCGTCATGGTTATGGTCATGCGCTTCGTGTGTTTACTGTTGATACACGTGTAGTTGTCGATTGTGAGCATTGTAGCTCGATGGGTGTTCTATGTGGATTGGAAAGTTTGGAGCGGACTGTGTGCCGCAACGGGGTTATTTTAGGATGAAATTCTTCATGGTTATTTTGTGTGTTTTGTTTCTCCCATGTGGGATGGATTCATAGTATGGTGTCGTTGGGGTTGTACCTGTTGGACTTGTCGTACAGTTCTCTCATTTCGTTCTCCTTCCATCTTTTGTTATATTTGAGTCATTGCTTGAGGGCGCACAGATTGCATCGTATGTGGCTCTAGGTGTCATTGGTGTGGCCTGTCAGTGCAAGTAAGCTACTTGCAATGTGCAAATGAGATTTTTGGACTTGGAATTTGTGCCATTAGATTTTGTTAAAGTATGTTTGGAAGAGTAAGGTCACTAGTCAACTAAGAATTTGACTATGGTTCTTGACAGGCGATAGAGCTCCAAGACTTGTTGATCTGACGAGTGGTTATGAGTTTCTACATGTTTCTTTCATCCTTGGCAGTGTACTAAGGTTTAGAACAAGATTTTATTTGATATGAGGTATGTCGCTAGTACCGGGTGTAGTAATGAGCAGCTATTTTGGTCAGAAGGTGTTACTATGAGTATCTGAGTTTTGTGGTATATCATGTGATTATATCATGGTATATGGTTATGGCTTGATACAGCTTGTGCAGACCTATACAGTTCCGGATGCTGGAGATTGGGTTCTAAGCTTTATGGACTAAGGTTGAAGTAAGGAACTTCAGTTAGGTTGTGTTGTCAGGCTTATATGGATTAGGGTGGCGTGGGATCACCCATGGGTATGTGTATGGTGAGTTTACACAGTGATCTAATGGCTTTGAAATGACTCTTGGAACGTTCGAGGACGAACATATGTTTAAGTGGGGGTGAATTTAACAACTCGATCGGTCGTTTTGAGCATTAGAATTTTCTTTCAATGGTTTGGGGTCTTGAGTAGCTTCATATGATATATTATGACTTGCGTGTGCAATCGGTTCTTGTTTTCGAGTGGTTCGGGATTTGATTTGGAAGAATAATTTTTAATTTGGAAGCTTTAAGTTGGAAGAGTTGACCAAGTGCTCCGGATATGCCACTCTGTTTAAGAACTCTTGGCCAGATGATTTTGAAGTTTCGATTGAACAAGCAAAGAAATGCATTGCTGAAGCATCAACTGAACCTCTTCGAAATCAAGTAGGCCCGGCAATATAACCATTAATTCTTGCTAAGATTGTTGCTACCACTATTCTTCCCAAAACAAGTTCCTTTTCTACTCCGTCTCAGCGAGATACATTCCTAGCCTACTTCTTACTTACTAAACACAAGGTCAAACTCTTGTCTTGGGTGATTTACTTTATGCTCGAAAGTGTCGATGACCCAACTCGTCTCCCATACTGCATGATCATCACCCATATGTTGGAAGCACATCATATCCCTCTCTCAAACCCTTCTGCTCGTTCCCATGTCTAAGTGTTATATCTCTATAGACATTACTAACATGGGGTACATATCTACAGAAGGAATATGGGTGAAGAAGCATGAGAACGAAGGCAAGGCCATACCAACCCACTCCAAGGCAGAAGCATCAACCTCTCACTCATTTGATCTAGAACTTGCTGCAAGATTGGTGGACAGATAAAATTTTTAAAGTTGTCAAGGAACTTATTGCTGCTACGAGACAGTGGTGGAAGACATCACAGAAACATAAAAGGAAACAGAATCTGATGCCTCAAAAATTCGAGTCAAGTTGGAATGAATGGCACAAGAGACAGTTGGTGCATTAAGGGAAGTGCATGACAGGATTGATGGAATCTCAATCACCATGACAGCAAACTTCAACAGGCTGAAAGATGTGTTCTACAACACCCTCACTTACTTCTTTTGTTGATTTTGTATAGTTGTTTTAACAATTTATATTTTTTGGTATGTTTTGTGGATGTTCTAGACACAGTAGCCTAGTTGACTACATGCTGCTTAGACTTATGTTTTGTATGCTCTTAGATAATTACTTAAGTCGACTACTTCCATGGTTAAGTCGACTACTTATCTGCATATATCATTATCTCTTTTGTACTTTTCTTTTTGCTGATGCAAAAGAGGGAGAAGAATTACATCAGGAGAAACATCAATTCAGGGGGAGCACATACTCAGGGGGAGAAGATCCACACGCTCCTGTCAGGGAAGTGCCATATGTTGATCCTTAATTAATGTTCAAATTATTATCATAAAAAAAAGGGAGATTGTTAGCCTTATTTTAATGATGGCATCACTTGTAAAATTGCAGGATCGCATGAGGCTAACAATCATTGTAATTTCAATCTCTTTCCGTATGATCCACCGTCTTCCTTTTCCAAATATCAAGCTCTTTGTTCTTCTCTTAGCAAGCATTGTAATTTCATTGATATACTGGGTAAAGAAGGAGAGAGAGAGAGAGAGAGAGAGAGAGAGAGAGAGAGAGAGAGAGAGAGAGAGAGAGAGAGCAGAAGAGAGAATAGGTGGGAAATAACTGATTCCTTATTCGATTCATAATATAAAGAGANAGGTGAAGCATTGTATCAAAATCTGAGAGAGAAAGGATAGTGAAGTGTGAAGAAGTCACAAAACCCTCTTGTAACAAAGTTTGATAAGGAGCAATCATAGAGAACCCTCATGCAACCCAAGGGGACTAGACTAGGATTCATATTGAATCCGAACCAGCATAAAATATCGTTGTGCAATTTATTTTCTGCAATTTATCATTCTGCATCACACTCATAGGTATTATTAATACCATAGTCGACTATACGGGTAAAGTAGCTAACTAAAGGACACATATGTCAAAAGGGATTACAATTCATCCCCTCTTGTACTTTTAGATAGGTCACTCTTAAAGTTAAAATATGTAAATGACTTTTCGAGACAAGTTTTAGGAGGCAACTTTCCTTAAATATATGTTTCAATTGCATCTCCCTTTATGTATTTCTACTTGATAAAATTAAACATGAAGAATGCTCTTACCCTTCCTATTTCATTCCCTTTGTTGCAACCCTTAACCTTTTTCCCAAACCAAACATAAATTTCCGTTGTTTTATGAAATTTTCCATTGAAAAATGTTTGTCACATTCACCAACTCATAAAACGAATATTTCTGTTTCAGTAGTAGTGAAACTTCGACCCTGCAGGTCCGTTGAATAACAAACGAACTAGAATTATAACTATTTAACCCAGGTACATATACAGACCTTTGAAGTCATTGTTCTGACTTTCAGTGCAGTTTCGGGCTCGAATGCAGTCGCCTATATTTGAGCCTATAATATTGTCCACCTGAAAAACATTTCATTTTGAAACTTTAAATGGAAAAAGGAAGGCTAGCAGATAACTATGTCTCTCGGTAAACGCATGGAAAAATAATTGAGTTTAATATCCATTGATACTTTAAAAGAAGCCTTAGTCACCTAATACAATAGGACATGACCGTCCATTAAAAGTGAGATAAATTATAACCTGGAAAAACTAAAGCTTAAATACACTGAGAGTATATTTGGTCAAACTTCTAAAAACTATTTATTTTGAGAAGTAGAAGTAGTGTTTCACCTAAGTAATTTACGATAGAAGCGGTTGGATTTGATCAATTTTTGAGAAGTACTTCTTTCTGTATCTAATAAACAAATTGTGTTTCACCCGTTTTCCCAAAAAGTACTCATGTGTAAAAGAAAATTAGCATATAAAGTAAATCCAAACTAGTTTAAATAACTTACTATTCTATTAAATTAGGTGGCCTATGAGTAATTCGAGAGCAGCTCATTAATTAACGATTAAACTTACACCTAGTATGTGCACATTTTCAAATCATTCCAGTGACCTTCAAAACCATACATGGTGGAGGAAAAAGTAACTACTAACTGGAAACAAATGCATAACTGTCTAACTACCTGATAACTATCAAATGCTGACATCACGGTAAAAAAAGGCGTCTTGATATCTTGTTGTATGTTTTCTGGGAAGAAACACTGCAGTGTATTGGTAGTTTGTATAATTATTCCAAGGGCAAAAAAGGACACATAAATGACAATTGAATCAAGCTAGGAAGCTAGCAGGACGTACCAATTCTGGTTTCATTTTTGAAGTGCATGATTTTGGTAACACTTTGGTAGATCCCTGCAACTCAAGTAAATAGGTTTAGATATCAGATCTAACCTTAAATCAACAGATATATAGTGGTAAAAACAAAAATCAATAAGAAGAGATATAGGATTAATATACATGTAAAGTAACCACATCTCTAAAGAGTGACTCAAACACATTTGCTAGACGTGGATTTTTCCTATTAAAAATAAGATGCTCAAAGTTAGATAGCATTTACAGTCATTTTCTATATAGGAAATTTAAAATCCTTATATATCTTACACATGGATAAAGTAACCAGCATCAACCAAACATTTCACTCTATGAGCTTTATGCAATAAATTGTGGAAGCGATCACAGTATAGCACGGCTGGATATCCATTAGCAGAACCACCAGAAAGAATGGCCTGCATTATTAATCTCTCTCAGTATGTGAGATGAATCAATTACTAAATAATATTGCATAATTTCAGTATGAAACCTAATATACTGAAAATAAAATTTCAGTTATAATTTAGATTTACATACATTCTTTGCATCCTTTAATCCTTTTGCTAACAAATCCTCAATTACTGCATCAAATATCCTTGCACCTCTGAAATAAAGATTGGTAGCCTAAACAATGTAGGAAGTGAGTAGAGTTCCATGTTGTTTTCACCAATAAAGAAATGTCTCAAACTCAATATTCACATTTATGTGTAAACTAGTTTTTCGGCACGTGCGTTGCATCGTGTATCCTGAGTCATGTAATATACGACAAACAATCAATAGCCCATGTACTAACACTAAAAAAAGCTAGATTTAATATTTTACCTATTTGTAATTTTTTAAATATTTTTTTGTCTATTCAGTTGTTATTTTGGCTTTATTTTGAACTTCACATATTCTAAGTTTTATTTTCCCATTAATGTGCCTTTCTTCACTAAAATGTGCGCTTCAGTTGCGCCTAATGCTATATCACTTTAATAAATTAGAAGTACTAAGCAACGTCACACGTAGAGAAAATATTTTACTTATAAAAGTGATACAAATTCAAACAGTAGAAGTAGCAATACATTTCACACATTTATTTTGTCGTGATAGTTCTTCTACATGTTCCAAATGCAAGCCTACTATTAAAAATCAATTTCATTTTCATTCTAGTCCGACATAAGATGATCGATTCATAAAGGTTATCAAACAACGTAAACAATTCAAGTCGAAATAAGCCAACATTATGGAGGAATAATTCATGGAAGAAGAGAAAGTAAACACATTCATTAAATATTTAAATTAGCACTTTAGAGAATCCACTTATATAAATAGTATTAAAACAAAAGGAAAGCCAAAATTTAAGAAGTAACATAACGATTGAATCATAAAAGGATACACATAAATTAAAATATTTAAAAACCTATAACCCAACAATATAAAATTGGATTAAAAGAATAAAAAAATTGTATTTTTTTCTTTAAGAAACTCGATGTCAAATTAAAGAAAATGTAATCACTTACCTAGAGTGCGTTTTGAAAATTTGGCTCTAATTACGAGTTACCACAATTCAATTATATGAAATTTCTAATATCTCGATACCTCCATCTAAAAAATCCACAAAAAGGAGAGAGAAGGCCAAACATAGATAAAATTGTCTTGCCCGTCCGTTACTACCAAAATCTTACAAAGTGATTGTAGTGATTAATTACGGCAAGGAACTTACGAGTCGGAGAAAAGCCACAACTTCAATCCACTTAGTGTCATTTATGGAAGCTTAAGTTATACGAGTTGACCGATGTTTGACTTTTTTGTAAACGACCCCGGAGTGGTGTTTTGATAGTTCTAATGGGTTTGTATGGTGATTTTGGACTTAGACGCACGTCCAAATTTAATTTTGGAGGTTCTTAGGTTTATTTGCTCTATTTGGCGAAAGTTGAAAATTTGAAGGTTTGGAAGGTTCATAGGTTTGACCGAGAGTTGACTTTGGTATTATCGGGTTTGGATTGTTGTTCCGAGAGTTGGAATAGATTCGTTATATCATTCGAAACTTGTGTGCAAAATTTAAGGTGATTTCGAGTTGGTTAGGCGGCATTCAGCATGACTTTTGAAGGTTGGAAGTTCGGTTAGTTCATTAGGCTTGGATTGAGATGTGATATATGGTGTGGGTGTTATTTTGTGTGCTTTGGGACCTCGAGTAGATCCGTGTTATGTTTTGGACTGGTAGGTATAATTGGACGGGATCCCAGGGCCTCGAATGTGTTTCGGATTGATTGGTGCCTTATAGGCATTTCTGTTATGGTGTTTTTGCACTTGCGAAGTTGGGTCCACAGATGTGAGTCCGCGGATGCGGACAATAAGGTCGCAGGTGTGGAGGAAGGCTCGGGCAGCAGGAGTCCGCAGATCCAAAGGCTTGATAGCATAAGAGAATGCGCAGGTGCGCTCCTTGGACCACAAAAGCGGAAGGGCAGAACTTAATGGGTTTTTGTATCTGCGAGGTACTTTTTGCAGATGCGGTGTTGCAGATGCGTGCTTTTTGTCTGCAAAAGCAAAATAGCTGGTTAGAGTATATTTCTCGATGGTTTAACTTATTTTATCATATTTTGAGATTGGGAACTCGGATTGGAGCGATTTTTTAGGTGATTTCATCACTTGGATTAGGGTAAGTGTTCTTGACTTAGATTTGAATTTATTTCATGATTCTATCTTTGATTTTGGCCTTTGGTTGAAGAAATCTAAGAATGAAATTGGGATTTTTGTAAGAAATTTTTGAAAAACGAATTACTGAGATTTGAACCCCGATTTGGAGTCGATTTTGGATGAAACTTATGTATTTGGACTTGTATTAGAATGGGTGTTCGAGATTTGTAAATTTTATTGGGTTCTGGGAGGCGAATCTGAGTTGACTTTTTGGTTGACTTTGTATAATTGAATAAAGACTCAATCTTTATTGTTTGTTTTCGATTTCTATGGCCTTGTTTGTCGCTATTGAGTTGTATTTGGCTAGATTCGGCTGGCTCAGAGGTTGATTTGAGAGGAAAGGCTATTTTGGGATATTAGAGGCTACCGGGTGGAGGTAAGTCTCTTGGCTAACCTTGTTAGAGGGAAACCCCTAGGATCTGACTTGTTTGCTATGTGTTTGAGGTATTGGTGGTAGTGTATATACGTGGTGGGTAGCGTATATGTATTCGCTTTGTTTATATCATGACCAGGGATAGAAATTGAAATATTTCATGCTTTGTTTGACTATGTGCTCGTTTGATTCATGATTTATTTGGCTTATGTGATTACGTTTGCTTTGTTATTCATGTTAGAAATCATGCCCAAGCTTATTATTAAATGTGAAGGCATGAGAATGTATTATGGATATGTGAAATTTGCATAATCATCTGCAGTCATAGAGATTTCATGAGTACATATCTGTATTAATATTTATTATATCCTTGTGCACCCTCTACCAATAATTCTTGAGCATATACATATATTTTTAATAATGGATATGTGATTTAGAGTAAGGTTTGGTATGAAGGGTAAGCATGCGGGTAAAATACAGTTATGGCACATTGGACATGATGATCAAATATTGATTTATGAGGGATGCTATTATACCCCTCTTGCGCTTGAATTTGGATCTGTCCCTCCAAAGTCAGGTAATAACCCATATTACTTTAGGCCCAGTGAGTGTGGTCGGTACATGGATTTTGTACCGTAACAATACATGAATTCTGTATTATGTGATACATGGATTGTGTATCGAGGTACATGGACTTTGTACCGGTTGAGCATGCATTCTTATTATTGACTCGTTTTGAAGTATTTATTTCATTGAAAATTGTTACTTGACATCCTTATGTGCTAATCGGGAGTCCCGGCTTTGTAATTTGAGCATGTTATCTTTTATTATTATATCTGAGCAGCGATAGGATTATTTCTGTGCTAGAAAATCATGCTTATCCGTTGATATCTGTGACACTTATTATTCATGATATTACCTATTGCTCCAGTTCTTAATTCTGTTATTTTACTTGTGTGGTAAGTATATGGAAGCATCTAGCCTCGTCACTACTTCTTCGAGGTTAGATTACTTACTTGGTACCGACTGTGGTGTACACATACTATGTTTCTGCACATTTTTTGTGCAGATCCTTAGGTTGGTCCAAGCAGAGCTTTTTGATTGGGCTAGGAGATCATACAGAGACTTGGGATGAGTTGCACTTCATGGATCTACTTTGCAGTTTCTGAGTCCTTGTCCCTTATTATATTTATGTATATTTGTACTTCAGACAGTCTGATGACATGTATACAAACTAGATTTCATTTTCATAGTTTGCTCGTGTACTTATGCCACCTAGTTTTGGGGGGCGTATTGTATTGGTCCTGTTTAGAACTTGCTTGTGGTTTTAGCAGATATTATCATTATTTTTGAGACTATTTCCAACTTTTATTGTCATATATCTCTGTTAAATAATAAAAATGGACTTTATTTGTTATCTTCAAGTTGACTTGCTTAACAAGTTTGGTTAGGCGCCATTACGACTTTGATGTGAGATTTTAGATCGTGAAAGAAGAGATATCCATCAAATCTCCTAATATGATGGTCAATGTATAGCTTGCACAATCTTACTTTATACTTTGTTTACCTTCTTGGATAGATATAAGATCCAATACAATTAAAAAAGTTTTATACTGCCTATCCATGACCAAACTCGATCTTACACTTCTTTCCCTTTCTATTCTTATTTTTAACCAACGTAGACATAGCTTACTTTATTACTATAAAAAAAGTATAATGAGCTACCTACACCACCCAACAGACTGAGACTATGAAGTAAGGGTAGCATAAAATAAAGGGAAAAGGTCCACATTTATTCCTATACTATTAAAAATAGTTTATATGTACCATCCGTTTTACTTTTTTCGTCTAAATTTACACCTACCGCTAGCATAGTAAACAAATTTGCCCTTATCCCTAACATATATCCACAGTGGCATCTGATGCAACAAATAAAATGCTAAGGTTGAGTCCATGTCACCATTTTTAAAAAAATATTTTATTTTTTACATTTATTAAATTAGAAAATTTAAACAGAAATCGTCCCGAAAAAGAGAAACCCTAGGAAAAAATTCTCTATAATTTAACATATTTTTTTTCTACAAATTTCGTCCTCAAAGCAAAGTTATTAGAACCCTAACAAAGAGCCATGTCAGGTGGCACCGTCGATGAAGTTAGAAGAAGCTTTAGATACTTTCATTATCGTTGTATCGATCACATATGATCACCTAAAATCGAGGTATTCACTAATTTTTAAAAAGAAAAGGTCTTGTTTTCTTGGCCAAGGTTAATTAACAGTGTAGTATTATTCAAATTAACTATATCCAATAAAGAAATAAACCAGCAAAATAGTGGGAAAGAAAATGTCTATTATGAAGTGACACTGTTAGTTAGTACTGTTAGTTAGGTAGTTATGTTAGTTAGGCATTTATACAGTTAGTTGCCAACTGTAAATTAACGGATCCAGCCTGTTAGTTAGCTAAGCATTACTGGAGTTAGCTAGCTATATCATATGTATATATCTTGTACTGTAAATGAATACCAATAGCAGTTATCATTTCCAGATATTCCACTCTTTAGCCCATTCACTCAC